CGCTTAGTTATAGTCAGTAGCTTGATTATTGCTCTTCTTCTAGACTGGATCAAGAAGAATGGTAAGTCTTCTTGCTCTTAAATTCACCACTTAAATAAAGCTTCAAACGCTGTCCATTCAGTTTAAATGTCCCATTCTCATCATGCGTGAATTCTACTACTCCATGGGAAAAAACTTTAACAACTGTGAAAGGGCCTGACCATCGTGATTTGAGCTTTCCTGGAAAGAAGTGAAGCCTTGAATTGTAAAGTAAAACTTGTTGTCTAGGTAGAAACTCCTTCTTTGAGATGTGCTTATTATGCCAAGCCTTGGTCCACTCCTTGTAAATCTTTGCATTCTCATAAGATTCATTGCGAAACTCGTCCATCTCATTAATTTGCAAAAAACGCTTTTCACCAGCTGCCTGAAGATCCATGTTTAGATGCTTCATCCCCCAATAGGCTTTATGCTCAAATTCTACAGGAAGGTGGCATGCTTTCCCATAGACTAACCGATAAGGAGACATTCCCAAAGGTGTTTTGAATGCTGTTCGACAAGCCCACAGTGCATCATCTAGCTTTTTGGCCCAATCTTTTCGGGAGATGTTAACTGTTTTCTCTAGAATTTGCCTCACCTCACTATTTGATATCTCTGCTTGTCCATTTGCCTGAGGATGATAAGCCAATGCTATTCGATGTCTAACTCCATATTTTAATAATAGAGCTTCAAATTGCTTGTTGCAAAAGCAAGTCCCTTCATTGCTAATAATGGCTCTAGGGGTCCTAAATATGGTAAAAATATTCTTTCGAAGGAACTTCTGCACCACTTTTCCATCATTAGTAGGAGTTGTGATTGCCTCTACCCACTTAGACACATAATCTACAGCTAGAAGAATGTATTTGTTGTAACGGGTCCCATGAAGTTAATACCCCAAACGTCAAACAACTCCACCTCTAGAATATTCTGCAAAGGCATTTCATTTCGTTTAGATATGGTCCCAAAGTGCTGGCATCTATCACAAGTAGCAATAAAAGTATGAGAATCCTTGAACAATGTTGGCTAATAGAATCCGATTTGGAGAACTTTAGCTGCTGTCTGATGAGCTCCAAAATGTCCTCCACATTCTAGTGTATGGCAATGTATCAAAATATTTGCCATCTCCTCCTCCGGAACACATTGCCCTATGATTTGGTCTGCACAATGCCTGTAGAGTACCGGTTCTTCCCAGTAGTAATGCTTTACTTTCGAGAAAAATTTCTTCTTTTGGTAGTAAGAAAAGTCAGGGGAATGATTTTTCCCGCAAGAAAATTGACATAATCTGCATACCAGGGTAGAGGCTCGTTAGAAGAAATAGCTAAAAGTTGCTCATCTGGGAAATTATCATCTATGGGTGGTCGTTGGGACTCAAGTTTCTCTTGTAACTCTAGCCATGAGAGATGATCCGCTACCAAATTT